AAGATATTTTCCTTCAAATGATGTTTCATGGCTTTTCTTGTGTTTGGTCGAAAAGGGAGAAATTCATTCCTGAAGTGAAGAGCTCAATAATTTTGTATTTTTATGAGATGTTCTCTTCTCGAACCACATAATTAAAGTTCTTGAACCACTTGAACATAATCAGAAGTATTCGCTCGGTCTCAGTTTGAGCTAGGGATGGACTGGACCGGTTCGGCCTGACCCGGCCGATCGGGACTGGGACTGGGGGCCCGGACCGGGGGTATTAGGGGCGGGCTATGGATGCATTTTTGGTGGACTGGCCCTGGTCCATTTTTTTTTTTCTTTTTCGCATTCATCGTCTGCTAGGTGGGTGGGATTGGGTGGTTTGGGGGTGGGTAGGAATAAATAAGAAAAACCAAAATAAAAAAAACTTAGACCCGACCCGGTTCCGGTACCAACCCGGGCCGGTACCGGGCCTTCATAAAAAAACCCCAGTCTTGCCCAATCCGGGTCTGGGCGGCCGGGTCTGGGCGGCCGGGCCTGGGCGGCCGGGCCTGGTCAATGCCTAGTTTGAGCTTCTCACTTGCATTTCTGGACATTTCAGATAATGATTTTCATTTCTATTTTAGAAAATAATTAACCCTATTAAATACTACGTAATAACTTAATCATCAAATAATAAAAATGATGTTTTTTATCACATCACAGTTATCACCAATGATCTTTTTGTCCTATAAAAAATATGAAAACTATACGGAAATATTATTATTTCAATTTTTTTTTGTAAAAGTATGAAAGTTATAAATTAAATTTGACATTAATATAATCAGTAAAATCATTGCAAACACGTGATCTGCCCCAAATGATGATGGTTGGACAGAACCTCCTATATAAGAACTTATTTGACCTTTTTATTTAAGTTCGAGGGCCTATCTGATCCCTTTCCCAATTTTATATAACATGGTTGTATCTAACTCACATATGGTGAGTTTGCTAAGCACGTGAATGGAATCGGTTAGGAGTAGGGTAGGCCCACAATATATATTTATTTTAAATTTATCTTGTGCAAATAAATGATTAATTTTGTTACTCCAGCATTAGTTACATTGTCGTGTAGTTGCGACCAGTGAAGTAAGATGGGCGATATATTGGGCTGAATCGGTATACTTCTTTGGAACTTTTATATACAATTTTTTACCTACATAATTTAATTAAAATTGAAAATTGGAGTGGGTTAGGGCTATATGAAACAATAAGCTTTTATTAAGCAACTATAATCTTTTTATATGTAAAACCTTTTCATTACTAAAAGGTAACATGTACTAAAAATATCACTTGTATATCTCAAAGGCGAAACAGACTATGTTTAAGATCATCTCCAATGGTAAAATGTGCACGGTGCACACGTGGCATGAGAAATAACCACATAAATATTAATAAATAAATTCTTTCTCTCCTTATTTGAATGATTTTATATAGTTTTGGTAAGTTTTTCTCTACAATGTCAAGGAGACCGTCTAGATGTTGACATTGTTGTTGACATTGCAGGAAAAAACTTACCAAAATTGTATAAAATCATTCAAATAAGGAGAAAATAATTTATTTGCTAATATTTATGTGGCCATCACTCATGCCACATGTGCACCGTGCACATTATAGCATTGGAGATGTTCTAACTAGGGAGAATAGTTACCATTTATAGTCATCCGTGATTTGAAAGCACGCAAGGATATCATAAATAAACAAAAGCTTTAACTAAAACATGGTGATAAAATCGTGGCGGCGGTCTAAACCTTCAACACATAGGCGTCGTTTGGATATTGGCGTTTCCGCCAAATATCAGCGTGTTTGACCGTGTTAGCCTATTGGACCATAGGAACCGCTGTTCTTTTTCTGTTTGGCAAATAGAGGTTGGCCTTGGCGTTTGGGGTGAAACCTCCAAAATTGAAGACGCTGCTAATCCTAGCGTTTCAATTGTAGCGGTTTGAAACGAAGACTGTATTCCAAGGTTGCCCTCTTATCTTCTTACTCTGTTCCTGCTGCAGCCGTTTGCTTTCAATGGTTCAATGCTTCTCTCTAGGTTATCCTCTCTGCAAGACGGACTGAATTGACCTTTACTGATTATTCTCAAATATATACTCGTATGTGATTAGTCTCCTCTAAAACAATTTATTGAATCTTTGTTTTGAATTTTGATTTGGATGGGTATTGAAAATTCGATGGGTTGAAATTTCCATGGGTATTGAAAAATTTCAATGAGTATTGAAATTTGTTAATACACTGTCAAAAATATGTAGTAATTGTGAATACGCAGCTACTCCGTAATTGTTAATACCTGCAGATTTCAAGTTATTTATCCTTGTATTTCAATTTTCTTATTAATACGGAGTACTTATGAATTCATCAATTTCTATTATTATACTCTTATTTAGTTAATTTTAAAGTTAAGCTGACATATAAATTATGTACGTATAGATTAGTATAGTGCTAAATTTAAATTAAACAAAAAACGGATGCAAAAATTTCATAATGTCCTTTTTAGTCTTTTTCGATACTAACCGCTACAAGCAAACAGCCAATTTACCAAACATTTTTCTGCACCCCGCTAAACAAACCCGCTGGTCAAACCCGCTGATCAAATCCGCTATTCATTACCCGCTAATAAAATCCGCTAACCGCTGACCGCTAACCGCTAAATGCCAAACAAGCCCATAAGCTTGTTTGAGTGTCAAGATTACGATCTTCAATAATGTTAAATTGATATTCAAAACAACATCTCTTTGAAACCTTGAATATATGCAAATATCATAAATTTGGAATTCAAACTCACCATTAAGTAATACTAGATTTTCACCCGTGCGTTGCACGGGATGCAATTCATAACTATTAAATTCCTTAGAATGAAAAAGTATTATTGAAAATATTTCCCTCCACAAACTTTATAACATAATGAAATCATTTGATAATTTCTAATTTCAGTTTATGAGTTTTATCAGTCAACTTTTTAACTAAGAATGTAATGTTTGATTTTGTCTGTTGAATTGTGTAATAATCAAAATTAGTAAGATTAGAATTATTTTTCGCATGCTGAATTGTGTGGTAATCAAAATAGGTAAGATTAAAATTAATTTTCTGACTAAATTGACAGAAATTACCCCAGGAAACCATTGTTTTTATCAATGAATGAAATGTTAACATGTAAGAAGAGACATCTAAGCACTTATATAAGCTTCAAAGAGAAATATTATTACCAACTATACTTCAATATATAGGCTCAAATTTTTTATTTTGCTTCACCAGAAATACACATTATAATATAAGTAAACACAAATTGCAATATCATAGGAGTGGGTTGATTATTTTAAGAAGGTTCAATTAAAAAAATGACACCCCATCATTGAGGGTCCCACAGAATTGATAGGATAGTTATTTGACAGGATTTAATTTGATTTGATCTCACTTTGATGGAAAGAGAGTGGAGTTTCATCCTAAGCCATTGTTTGGAGTTGAACCTGAGACTTCCTTGTGGGCACCCCCTTCCTACCAGGTGAGCTATGCCCCCAGGTTAGAAGGTTCAATTGTGTCGATCCAATTCTAGGTAGGGATGATAATTGTGTCGATCCGATGGATACCCGACCAAACTGATTGGTCAAAATAGGAAAACCGCATTGACTGGGTAATGGGCAACAGGGCAGTTAAAGTTTCATATATGCCCACCCATTACCATTTTAGTTATACTTTTTATTACATTTTTTCCTATTATTTGTCCCACAATTGATGAAAGATGACACTTTTCTCTTTTTCGTTGTGTATATATGGATGTACTAACTATAATGTATGAATTAAATTTCATAATAGATTTTAATAGTCTCGCTTGGTTGTTTTCAGATTTTTTTCTTGATTAATTATTTTTATGTGAGTATTTTTAAATTTAAATAGTTTATTAGGTTACCTTCTCTCTCGCCTTGTAGATGTACAAAATTCTTAAGTGGCCTCTCACGTCTAGAGTCGCCCAGAAGATGCCATAATTTGCCTTTTAAAATATTAATTTTTTATTAAAATATCAATGATATGAATCATATAATAAAATGGTTACCCACGATTATACTTGTTACCCATTGAAGCGGTTATGGGCGGAGAAGTTACCCAACAGAGCGGGTAGATTAATATGCATAACTGTCATTGATCCGTTCCTTTACTGTATCTAATTCTAGGAGACATAAATCTACTACTGCACCTTTAGTCACACCAAACGGCTGTTATATTGATTATTGAAGTTAACAATACATTATCTATACTTGGACCCGGGCCGGGCCTAGGCCTGGTAAGGCTTTAGGCGTTTGGAGGTAGGCTCGGAACCGGCCCGGGTATCCCCTGGGTCCGGGTTGGGCCGGCCCAGGCCTCGGGCCAATTACAATTTTTTTCCTTTTATAATTAACCCCACTCACCCCAACCCCCCAAACCACCCCAAATGGCCCAAAATACCCCGCCTAACCCGGGAAATTTTAAAAAAAAATGAAAAAAAAAAGCCCGGAACCGGGCCCGACCGGGCCGGGCCGATTCATCTTTTGGGTGACCCGAGCCCGCACCAGAAACCCCCCGGGCCGGGCCTACCCGGACCGGTCCCTAGCCGGGCCACCGGTTCGGGCCGGTTCCAAACAGTGCCGGCTCCGGGCCAATTCCGGGTCGGGCCACCCGGCCCGAGTCCATCAATAATACGGAGTATTATCCAACACATGATAAAAAGATGTTATTTTGGCTTTATTGATTAGGATTAAGATGATAGGATATACTATATGAAACACAAAGAGTTCAGATAAAAGGGTTCCATGGTTCAACACACATGAAGGTGCTTTTTAGAAAGGAAAAAAAAACATTAATCAGATGCTTCAAAAAAGCAAACTAATAGATCCAATACTTGGAAATATGAATAACTAACAAAACCAATAATTCAATCGTAATTACTTAGCTCCATGGGTATGATGGAAACACACTTCTCTTGAGTCATTCCTCAATAGAAATTATTGCACAAAATTGAATCATCACTTCATCATATATGAATAGCAGAATGATTTGCAGTCACATTAAAGCAAAAGAAAACATCTTTTTTGATACATGAGGGAGAAGATGTAACTCACATAGGCTACATTTTCAATGTATTAAGCTAAAACATTAAATGCATACTTGAAATTGAACATTAAAGTTCAAAAAAATCTAACAGAAAGTTCTAATGAATCAAATTTGCGTGGAAAAGTAAAAACTCATTCAAGTACTAAACAAAGCACACTCCTCTGAGGCTAGTGCTATTCAACATTTCCACATTTGTTCATTTCCTGCAAGTTAAAGGTATAAGAAATATTATATGAGTTGGAATAAAGAAAAACGGTTGAGATCAAGAATGAATATGATTTGTAACAACAAAAATTAGCAAATCTTAAACAAAGGTGAAAAAAGAAAACAGCCCTAAGTCACAATAAAGAATAAAAGTTTAAATAAGAAAAATTGAAGGGGTGATGAAGTTCAAAGAGACAGTGTGATATTAAAGTATTAGAGGAAACTGAAATTAAATGGACTGCACTCATATACCAAGAAAAGCAAATGAAAATGAAGTGGAAGAGAGAAGTGAAATATAAAAGAAACTCTATTAGTGAAAAAATGATCGCGAAAGAAGAAGGATGTAAATGATAAGAGAAATAGAGGGTCCAAATTCAAACAATAAAATAAATTCTCAACAAATTATTGATATTATGCAAAAAGATATGTCAGCCTCATAACAAACACCTTGTTAGCTTTTATTTCGTTAATATTGGAATTGTTTATAGAAGCAACTTTAGGGATAAGTGGAGCGAGCTTGAAAAATGGGGGGAAATGGAGCTGTAGAACATATTTTTAACCAAATAATTGAAGGGATTGACGGAAACGAACGTATACACGGCAGATTCTGCAAGTATTTGGCTGATAACATGTAAACCTTTTCGTTTAATCTTTTTTTAATAATAAAAATGTTCAAATAGACCTTTTTACCATTTTCTACCCAGATTTTTACATTTTGATTTTATGTTTTATTTTAACATTTATAATAATTTACAGAGTATCGATTTTGAAAATTTTACAATGTTCTTACCTTTCTATACAATTTTGTTAATTCAAATGGTCTGACATAAATACAACAAAAGATGCATAGTACCGGTTTCAGGCAAGCAGTCCAGGCAGGAATGAATATGAAATCTTATAGAGCCCTCTAATGGACATAAACAATAGTAGAGCATGCACACAAATGAATAGATCAAATTTCAAAATCTTAGAAAAATCCCTCAATTAAGGAAAAGCAATCAGAACAATTCAATATTAACAAAAGGGTAGATTTTTTTCTAGATAAACCATCTTTAATATAAAGATTATCAACCTATAGAAACAAATTCACAATTAATTACTAAAAAACAGCAAGCCTTATATGTTTGTTTAAAACCCTATCAAATACACGCTAATATGAACTATGTTAGTTGTCCTTATAGTTCATCTCAATGTGAATATAGAAAGTGAATGAAATATTGGTAATCTGCCAAGTCAATGACACAATTATACCACTTCATAGATTTCTCCTCATTATATATAAATTAATTTCACGAAAAGAATATAGCAGGAAAAAAAGAAAATGAAAAGAGGTTCCAATCTAAAGAGAAGAACATGGAACCCGAAAAAAAATTAAAACTTTTGCTGGACTGTGTTATAGTATTGCATGTCTAAGGATGTTTTTACTTGGACTGTAATTTGTTGGTCTAGTTTGGTCTGATCTGGTCTGGTCTGGTAAGGTCTTGTTTCTTTGTATTTTTATAACTATCCAAGTCTGGTCTGGTCTGGTCTGAACTGGTCTGGCCTGATCTGGGACAAATTACAGTCCAAGTAAAAACATCCTAACAGGCAACAACCAAGGATTTGCATGGAATGCACCATTATCAAGAATGTCATTATGATAATGTCATTACAGAGTACAGACAATTAATCAAGTGAGAAGGTTTGAGGAGAAAGTCATTAATAAGAACACCATTTTGATGACGACGAAATTCAAAGAATGGTGATCCAATGTGAAGAGAATATAGCGGAAAAAAGGAAACTAAAAAGGAAATCCAATCTGAAGGGAAGAATATATTATCTAAAAAATGACCTTAGTTGCTATTTATAATCCAAAAGATTTCAATTGAATAATAGTGAAGTTAATTTTAACTTGACTATTTATAAGGGATTACAGTAAGTAGAAAACATATCCAAACAGAAATATAAGGAAATCAATATTATATATATGTGAATCATATCACACCCCTGAAATATGTATACAATGCATACAGCTAAAGAAAAGTGAAAAGAAAACGAATTCATAAAATATTATATTATGTAAGTTAAAGGAAAGAACTAATAAGAGTTGGAACGCACTCACGCAGTTATAGTCTGAGATGAATTATAAACGAAAGAGCATTAAAAGTCCTTATATTTGCAACCTGTGGAACTTACCTTAGCTTCTTCTTGATTTCATGTCTTCATAGGATTTCAAAACCATGTTGATTAAATCAATACAGCATAAAAGCTCACCTATATACAAACGTAAATCCATACAAATCAAAACAATGCAAATTTCTCAGGTGACTTTTCTTTGATTGATTAACATGAAATAAATCACTTATGAAATCAACACTTACTCCATCACTTACTTCCTCCCTGCATATTAGAATACAATTGACACACCAGGTCAGCAAACACCACCATTATATATCAGAACCTTAGAATTTAGAAAACATTCCAATCAGATACTATACGCAGTTTCCAAGCAGAATGAGACTTTCTGCAGATCTTTGTTTTATCTCCAGTTTAAAATTTAAGTTGAATCACTACAATGTTATAGTCCTTGCCCCTTGGCCCTCAAATTCTCCACTCACATTACATGACCTACATCTGCATATGAAAGAAACTAAAGAACCTGCAAGCAAAGAGTTAATGGAACCCATAAGCCATAATCATTTTTTTTACTTCCGATTCAAAATTCATGTTCATATTTATTAGCCACGATGAATAATGAAACAAATATTCACATCTCACCATCTAGGTAAGAATTTACTCTAAGAAAGAGAAACACACTACCATATAGAAAAGCACTACCATTCAATCCAAAATTATAAAGCAGTAGTTATGTTGATCAATGAAAAGGTGCAATCTTTCTCTTAATAGTTTCAGGCAAGAAATGAGGATATGCGACTCTTAGTCTTCGTGCTAATCCTGATTCTTGATTGTCAGCTTTAGATGATTACATTTTATCGGTCTACTAAATTCTACTTATAATCAAATTAAAACTAATCAAATAAGTTACTTCCTCAAGTGTGAAGAAGGGATTAAATAGTGGATTTAGCATGTTACAACTAATTCTAAGAAAACTATAAACTAAAGCAGGATTCAGTCTACCTCATCAAGATGATATTGACGATGACATAACTGGAAATTAGGAATTGGTCTACCTCTGATTTGGATTATGTTAATGAAAGAATGAAAAGGGAACACTGCAGGATTAGATGTTCTGTTGGATGAAATCAGAAATTGCATAAAATGAAAATGAATAATGTGTGAGAAGACACTATAAAGTAAAGCAAAATTTAAATTGAATCAAGAAATAATTAAGATTGATTAAATTTATTGGTTTCATATCAATATTATTTATAAGATTGATTATGATAGGATATAGGGGAATCATGTGATTTGAGTTGAATATCTATTTTAAAAACCTGTAGATTGCATTTTCTTTAGTTTTAATGTAAAACATGCTTATTGCAATCAGAATATAGCAAGCCTTGACCAACTTTTAAACAACAACATTACCCTATTTATGCATAAAGTTGGAGCCTGCAGCAAGTCAGATGAACTGTGCAATATAAACTCAATGCACCTACTGGGTAAGACCACCAAACCTCCTTAAAGGTTTGAGAGTGTGACATTCCTTGCCCATGGATCACCATTTAATTTAGGTGCTCCACCATTTCTCATGAAATGAGCTTCACAAAAAATCTGAACACACAGAAAGAATAAGAAGATCAATGAGACATAGATCTTATACTTTCATCATTAAGTGAAATGAGACAATAGCAAGAAGAGGAAATGCAGAAGAGCGAAGAAAATGATCTCTTCTTAATTTAGATTTTAGAATGGTTTACTCAGTATAAACTTGATAAATTGAAGAAATTTAAAGCTTTTTATAATCCAAAAAAGAAACCATAGTTCCAATGACACGGGTGAAGCATTATTAACTGAGCTAAGGGGTCCTATGTATAGCATCACTAATTAAGAAAACATATTCAGTTCGAACTAATATACATGCATTAATATTTGGGCAAGAAAATGTTCATACTTCTCACAATTATATCATCTTGAAGTTGTAGCCCCTTGCCTGATTTGTCTTCTATCAGATTATTAATAGATTATTATAAATGTATCTCCCTTTTGTAGTACCTCCGATCATTCCGAATGCTGATTAAATTCGTAGTATCTTTGTTCTTCCTCAGATGCATCTTTTTTTTCATTTCCGTCCTCTATGAAAATGAATAAAGAAGATACGTAGTACTCCCTCCGTCCCGCTATGATTGTCCCATTTTACCATTTCGGTTTGTCCCACTAAAATTGTCTCATACCCCATTTGGTAAAGTTTGTGTGGTTCTAAATCATTCCTACTTTATTAATTCAATATCAACCACATAAACTCACTTTTATTAATAACCGTGTCACCTTCTCTTGTTCCAAACTTAGGGGGACAGAGGTAGTAATAGATATTAATTAGCTTCCAGGATGCCACTTTTGCCTGAGAGAGGAGATAGATGACAAATTCAACCTTAGCCTTGAAAGATTAGTGTTTATAGAAATGCATCTCAACCTTAGTTTACATCAGTAAAGTTGCTCTTTTATCTAAACCTTAACTATTTTAATCAAACAAAATATATTAAAGCAATCTTTCATTCATAAACCAAAGCCTAAAGACTGTATTCCCCATTTTAGATGAAAAAGATACCTTGTTAGTTGAATTAGAGTTATCATGCCACCCACATTTCATAAAACAAAACTACATTTAATAAAAAACTACATTTATGAATGAAAGTTGGTTTAAATAATATTTGACATTAATCTCACCCCGACAGTCTGACTTTGATACATCAAATTTATGTAATCAAGCATTTCATCTCAAGAGAATATTTTGAATAGGGCAAATAATCTAGCATTGAATATTATACATGAAAGAACAAAAAAGTCAATACCATCGAGGAGGCGCCTTCCAGAGGACTGCAGCGAGAAGGAAAAGTCACCGTAAAAAAGTTTGAGGCTCCGTTGCATAGCAACCTAATTAAAGGTTTAAATGTTATTAAAAACTCAAGACAATTTGTAGCAAACTTCAAGTTCATAGTACATGTTAAACCTTATTGCACTATTAGATTTACCCTAAAAAAATACTTAACTAATATACTCGAGGCCATATATCAAAAGAAAAATACATGGACAGATTTATGACAAAAAGTCAAGAATTTTTCAGCAAACTTATTTAAACCAACTTTCAGTCAATGTTCACAATTATAGAACCCAATGAAGAAGTAGCACCTAAAAATAAACCAAGCAACAAATATCACAACAACAAACATCACAATGAAATTATTTGCTAATTATAACTTATACGGAAGCATTCATATATGATTACAATCAGTATATAGCACAGAGAATATACAGTTCTTGAAATCATTAATGCTTTTAGCTTAAGTTGAACGAAATCCCTCCCATTCGACAACTATAGAACCGAAATTTGATTTGAGATACCCCTCCGGTCAGTCCATAAAAACCCGAAAGTGCAATAGAATGAAAAGTATTGGAAATGAAAATAATAGTTGGAGATAGAAATCAGAAAGGGGATGAAAATACCTGCAAAGGAATGTACTCTGTAGTCACGATGAAACTTGCCGGTAGAGATGTAGAAGTGAAATTGCGGAAGGAGATATTCCTGAGCATAAATCCTATGGTCTTCTGTAGCCCGAGAGATGTGAGGAGTGAAAAAAGACTTCCACTAACGATGAAGTGAAAGGATGCGGTGTAGATGGGAAGAGAAATAAAAGTCAGGTGAGGCGCAGGGGATCTATTATTGAGTGAAATCGTACGGCTGAAATGTATTCGACTATGGAGCGGGAAAATGTCTCCTCCAAAAGTAGTGCAATTACGTAGAGTGATATGATCGAAGTACTTCGGAAGCTCGATCAGACCATTTGATTAGTGTTTCATTCTTTGCATGGGCCATGGGGTGACCCGTGGCAGGCCGGACTCAAAAGCGAACCTTTTTTTGTACTATCAATTTTGAACTCAAACTCTTTGTCTTTAACCATTTCCTAAAGTAAAGCTAAAGGATATTAAAATGAACCTTCAAGATTAATTAGTTAGATCATTTGCGGTAGATTTTGGACTAATGAAACAAATTTTACATAGCATGGTTACATCTAACTCACATATGGCGAGTTTGCTAAGCACATGAATTGGCCATATTATGACTTCAATAAGTGGCATTAGCACGAAGTTAACAATTTAGGGAAAACTGTCAAATAGGTTCTCGTACTTTAATGAAATCGTCAATTGAGTCCTCGTACTATTAAATTAACCAATCAAATCCTCCTACTTTTAAAAACGAGTCAATATTGCCTATTAGCCACCGAGTAACCGGCTCTCTCGTTTTTGGCTGATGCGGCTGCTTACGTGGCTTTAATTAATCGCCTATTTGTTAAATCGTTAATGACATGCCACTAAGAGTCAAGAGCCGGGTTTGGTTTCCCTCTATCCTCCCTACCGTTTATCATAGAAGACTCCTCGACAATGGAGACTTTGCTTGAAGCTGCGAACGCCCAACACTCAATCAAATAGAATCATTCATACTCTGGCGAAGGAGAAAGTCTTGCTATTACGGAAAACCGCTCAACAATCCTGCTGCACCAAGTAAGTTCTAAGAAATTGTGGTCTTTTTGTTGTGTGTAGTTAACCCTAATATTGTGGAAAACTTTACAATTTGTTGCTTCTTAATACATACGAATATATTATTAACAGGATGGTTGAGACTGTACACCTAATTATTCACCATGGAGGGAATTTTGTTAGTGCTCTGAAGAGTATGTATGTGGGCGGTGAAACGGAAAGTGTTGAAATTGATCCAGATTGCATATGTTATCCACATTTGGTGAAGTTTCTAAGATCTGGAAGTTATGGCAACATTAAAAGGCTGTATTTTAAAAGACCAAGTGACACTATGGACAATTTACGTGAGCTCTTCAGTGATGAATCAACATTGGAGTTGATAGATTTGGCTAGAAGTTGTGGGGAATGTGATATATTTGTTGAGAATGATTTGGATGAATATGAATTGGTTGACTTTGTCCCTCTTCTTTCACCAAATGTACCACTTCAGGAGCAAGAAAGTTACTTTGGAGGTCAAAATAATGAGTCCAATGCAGCAGCTGGTGTTGAAGTTATGTTTGAGGGAGGTAATGATGATGACGACCTTATTGATGCAGACTTAGCCGCAGATTACAGTGGCTCTTATGTGGAAGAAATAACAGTAGACAGAGATGATATTGCTACCCCAAGTGAGAGTGAAGAAGCTGATAGTGTAGAGTACGACTCTTCAAATCCACCTAGTTACACTTCGGAGCACCTGTCAGATGATGGTCAATCTAAAAGGAGAAACAATGGGCTGTCCTCCTATAATCCTGAATCTGAACCTCCTTTGATTGAATTTCGAATGCTTTTTGAAGATGCTCGACAATTCAAGAATGCTATTATTAGATATGCTATTCATGAGAAAAAAGATGTGTATTTTGTCAAGAATGACTTGACGAGAGTTAGAGTTAAGTGTGCACCTACTTGCCCTTATTCTTGTACTGCCAGTTGGGAGAATAGGTTGAAGTGTTTCCAAGTGAAGGTGTTGAATGAAGAACATAGGTGCAATTCTAAGTTTAAACTTAGAGTGGTGAGTCAAAGTTGGATAGCTGAGAGATTTGAGGAAAAAGTGGAAGAGAATCCTTCCATTGGTGCTGCTGAACTGAAAAATATTATCAAAGCAGAATTGAAGATTAATGTGTCTATGAGTATGGTCACCCGGGCATTAAGGATTATTCATGAAAAAACACAGGTTGCCTTTAAAGATCAATTCAAAAATCTTAGAAATTATGCTGAGGAATGCCTGCAATCTATTCCTGGGAGTACATTGATTATTAAAACAGTAAGAACTGTCCCTGAAGCTCCTGCTGTATTCCAAAGGATGTACATTTGTTTCGGGCCAGTCAAAAGAGGTTTTCTTGACGGGTGTAGAAAAGTAATTGGGTTAGATGGTTGTTTTTTGAAAGGTCGTTTGAAGGGAGAGATACTGACTGCCGTGGGTAGAGATGCAAACAATCAAATGTATCCGGTGGCATGGGCTGTGGTTGAAATAGAAAACAATTCCTCTTGGTCCTGGTTTTTGGAGTTGTTAAAGACAGATTTGCATATGGAAAGGAGTGATATGTGGACAATAATAAGCGATCAACAAAAGGTATATATAAGTTGAATGTTATTTAATGAAGGTAGGTATTAGGATGCTCACTTCACAATTTCAATGATTCTGAGATTATGGGATGAGCCTTTAATTTATTTTAGGACAGTTTTGGTCTACCATAAGGATTTATAAGAAACATCCATAGCATAGCTGGAGATGGGTGTTTCTGAACACTAATCCAAACTTAAGGGTTAACTTAGAAAGAATCAAATGGACTAGTTTACATTGAGGCTGTTTTTAAAAGAGTTATTTCTACACTTATTGAATCTGTTTTAGTTAGTACTTTGAGATAAAATGTGAATCATTAATACATTATTATCTCTCAATTCAATTTCAAAGCAGAAACAAGTTATTTTACTGGTATATGTTAGATATATAAACTTTGGTGTTGTAGAACAATAGAGAAGAAGGCCACTGGGTTACTGGACTACTGGTTTTATACTTACATATGTGTGAACTTAGTAAGAATCAAATGGAGTAGTTTACATTGAGCCTGTTTTTAGAAGACTTATTTATAAAATGTCAAGCTTAGAGGTTGCCTCAATATATATTCTGTGAATGTTATTTCACGCACTGTCCACTTAATAACTAACTGACCATGGTTCTCTTTTAATGTAGGGGTTGTCTAATGTAATTGCTAAAGTGTTCCCCGAGGCTGAACACAGAAATTGTGCTAGGCACATCCACGCCAATTGGAGCAAGAAACACGGTGGCATGGCTCTAAAGACACTTTTCTGGCGGTGCGCTAAATCTACATGCCAGCCTCAACTAGAAGCAACATTGGACGAGCTGGACAAGGCTGATAAAGAGGCTGGGGCAGATCTGCGTAAATGTCCATTGAAATTGTTCTGCAAGGCTTACTTTAGATCAAGTGTTAAGTGTGATACCGTGGAAAACAATTTATCTGAAGCATTTAATAGCACTTTGCTCAAGTGTAGAGAGAAGCCCCTTATACCTATGTTAGAAGATATTAGAGTCGCAATGATGAAGAGAATAGCCAAAAAGAGGAAGTATGTTACCAAATGGCCAGGTAAATCATTTGATTTAAAGTGAGTTCGTTAAAGGAGTAAAGGGTGTTTTGTAGTTCACTGATTATTGTCTGCGTGTGTAAATAAATTGACAGGCAATTATGGACCTATCATAATGAAGAAGTTAAACAAAAACATTCTTGCTAGTGAAGGTTGGCATGTAGATTTTAATGGGGATGATGGTTATGAGATTAAGAAGGGTCGGCAACAATTCAAAGTTAGCATTCAGGGTAGGTGTTGCTCATGTAGAAGATGGGATCTATCTGGTATCCCTTGTGCACATGCCATATGTGCCATCTTTGACCAAGGACATGATCCTGAAGCATTTGTAGACAACTGTTATTCCAAAGAGATGTATCAGAAGACATATTCGTATGCTTTGCCTCCAATTAATGGCCAGTTACTATGGCCAAGAGTAGAATATGAAGAAATCCTACCTCCACTACCCAAAAAAATGAGTGGCAGGCCTAAAAAGAAAAGAATAAGGGAACAAACTGAAGCTCCACCCTCTGGTTCACGATTTTCAAGGAAAGGAAGAGTCATGACATGCTCGGTTTGTAAGCAAGAGGGGCATAACAAAGCATCTTGTGTAACAAATACAACAACACCAGTTGACATGGCTTCCAGTTCCACCACAGGGAGGGGCAGGGCTTCCAGTTCCACCAGAGGGAGGGGCAGGGCAGCTATTTCCACCAGAGGGAGGGGCGGGGTATCTATTTCAAGTAGGGAGAGTGGCAGGGAAACAATGTCTGATTCAGCAGAAAGAAGGGGGCGTGGAGGTAAGAGTAGGGGTAGTATAGGTGAAAGAGGAAGAAGGCCAACGGGTTTTGGTATATACACAAATTCTGAAACGGGGGAGATTACGTTTAATGTAAATTTCTAAATGCATTAATGTAAGTGTATGATGTCCATGTTGTAAATAGATACTTGTGCTAATTGAAGTGTTTATATTTTATACAGCCAGGAGAGCGTGGTGAAATGCTTCTGTCAGGGTGAATGAGGGAAGAGGTTGCGGACTAGCTCAAATGACAACATGGTGTTAAATAGAAGAAATATTATTAGGATACTATGCAGCTAGGAGTTTGGTAGCATGGTCCTGATTTTGTGAAATCATTATGAGTGCTTTTGTTATAGCTATGCCTTTGATAAGGGTAGTCATTTTGTAATCTCTATATGAGTGCTTTTGTTATGGCTATGCCTTTGATATGGGTAGTCATTTTGTAAACTCTATATGAGTGCTTTTGTTATGGCTATGCCTTTGATATGGGTAGTCATTTTGTAAACTCTATATGAGTGCTTTGTTATGGCTATGCCTTTGATATGGGTAGTCATTTTGTAAACTCTATATGAGTGCTTTTGTTATGGCTATGCCTTTGATATGGGTAGTCATTTTGTAAACTCTATACGAGTACTTTTGTTATGGCTATCATTTTGATATGAGTAGTGATTTTGTAAACTCTGTATGGTTGCTTTTGTTATGGCTAATGGTTTTGTAAAGTCTGTGGTAGTTATGTCTACTGCTTCTGTAAATTTATTATGACTGCTT